CGCACCATTAGACCATTTCTAGAAACAGTGCTAGTGTGTCATCCATGACCTTTTATTTAAAAACAGACAATCACCTCTGCCTTAGAGATCTGTACACAGAATGTGGAGGGGGTTCAGACAAATATAAATACAAGTAGAGGTTGTATTATCTCTGTTAAGACTTGTATAAAAATACATTTAAAAAAATACGTATGTAAGAAAAACAAAAGATGGAACAAACATCTGAGATTTTGGAGTGTGTGTGTGAGGTTGGTTGGATGAAACAAAGACAAAGAAAAGAAAGAAAATTATAGGCCAGTGCAGAGTGAATATGAAGCAGATGTACATCACTTGACTCACGCCAATCTTTTCAGCCTCAATCTAAGTTAAAGCACAGCTCATTTTGTCCCTATCCTTTTTTTACTTCTCAGTTTCTGTACTTGTCAAAATTTGCAAAAAAAAAAAAGAAAATGTTACAGACAGTGCCTGCATATCTATCTGGCCCTTGTCAAAAAAAAAAAGTAATGTATCCTCATCTCTGTGATCTTGTAGAGAGATGACTATCCATGGAAAGGATGTGGGAAACAAAAACAGCTGAAATAGTTTGAGCTCTGGCAGGTGGAGCTTAAAGCGGTAAACTACATTCCCAAATCTGAAAAAACTCATCAAGGTGATATAAGAAAAACAGCTCAGGAGCTAAATTAAAAACAATGGACAGGTCCAGATGGAGATGCTATAATCAGGTTCAAGACAGGTGAGCTTCATTCAACGAGACCTGCTTCATAAGAGAATGGGAACAAGTCCATTAAGAGGCTGAAAATAGACATGCTCCATAAATGCTTTGCCCTCGCTGTGTGGCTCACAGCCAAACGTTTGGTCATGCAGCACACCTCTGTCAGTGTGAGAGAGAAAGAAAAAAAGAAAGCACAATGAAGGGGAGCGAAAAATGTAACGGGCAAGTAATCGCCTTGATCAGATTTGCCAGAGAAAAGCTGTGTTGGATGCCTGGTATTAGGCTGATAAAATCTGGCACCTGAAACAGATTGAGACTAACACCAATTAATCTTTAACACAAAACGATCAAATGTTCAACTCTCCCGTGTCTGAACGAGTCTTGTTGTAGGGTGGTTTAAGATCAAAAACTTGTAGCGTTCAAGATCGATCCATCTTTTTTTTTCTACCTCAGATATGTCTGTATGCTCTATTCATAATTTAAACAGAGGAAGAGAAAGACTAAAAAGCTGAGTTTAAAGATAGAAGTAATGCAACACTATTCAAAACCCTACAGCAATAATATATGCGCCTAAATGTGTGAGAGCTGAGTAAAACAAGGCTCAGGGGAGAAACAAGCCTTTTCACTTTAAAGCTGTGCACTTTAGCAATCACAAAGCCTGGTAACCCTCTGCAAGTGAAAGGATTTGGGTGTTTAATGCATCCCTGGCCTTTATTCACAGCACAGACAACTTTATCCAAGATGGCACTCCACCTCAACAGTTTAGGGGTCTGACAGGCTGAGCATGTGAAAGACAGGGTGTTCTTTTCAAGCAGAAAGCAGAAAGTATACAGCACATTGGTGGGGGTGACTG